AGGGAGCGAGAGAGAGAGAGAGAGCGCTAATGTTTAAAAAAAGTGACTGAATATAAAGAGAATGAAGAGTATGCCTAGGTAAACTAATCAGACTGTCAGACTAAGAGAATATAAGTTAAGAGATCCAGCCATGCTTGTTGGGTTTCTTTTTTATTTCTAATTTGTACTTATTTGAACGTGTCCTACAACTACAAACGCAATGCAGGCTCACTTTTATCTGTTTTTAAAGAATGAGGGTCCAGTCCTGGCCAGGTGGCTCAGTTGGTTGGAGAGTCATTCCATTCACCAAGGACTGCAGGTTCGATTCTGGTCAGGGCACATACGTAGGTTGTAGGTTTGCTCCCCAGTCAGGATATATATGGAGGCAACCAACCAATGTTTCTCTCTTTCTACTCCTCTCCACCTTCCTCTCTCTCTAAAAATCAATAAAAACATATCGTGAGGTGAGGATTAAAACTAAAAAAAGAATGAGGGTCCAAGTGTGCAGACTCAGGGAGGTGACAGCTGACAGAGAATGACTCTTCTTCCCTAGATTGGAGGAAGATGGGGAGACTATTGACAAGATAGACCGAAGCGAAAGAGGGTCACACTCCATAGCACTGTGTTCTGACCAAAGAATAGCTACTGAGACGGGGGACAGGAGGCTGGGGGAGGGCAGCCAAAAGAAGGGCTGAAACACAACACTGGGCGCAGACAGTGCTGATAACGGCCAGTTTCTATAAGGTGATGAGAACAGCTACCCCTTTTATCCAAAAGCCTGACCCAGCACTGCAAAGGCTTACACGGGCTGGAGATTAACAAAGATGACAGAAAACCAGGGTATCAGAGGCAAGACTTGGGCTAGAAAACCAGAGTGCGGATGACAGGTGAGGCCTGAGAACCAGGAGACAGAAGACCTCAAGGAACTGGAAGTCCCGGTGAGAATGAGAACCAGGTTTGGAGAAAGTGACACAATAGCCAGGGGGAACTGAGGCTGGGGGACTTGTTTGTTTGTTTGTTTTAAATATATTTTTACTGATTTCAGAGAGGAAGGGAGAGGGAGAGATAGAAACACCAATGAGAGAGAAGCATTGATCGACCTCCTCCTGAATGCCCTTTAAGAACTCAGAGAAGGTGCCATTCGGATAACGATGACATCTCAAATATGGCCGTGCAAGCAGGTTGATAAACAGAAAGGGTGTGAAGGGAGGATGCAAGCACTTATGTCCCAGGTATGTCACCAACCTGAAGGATAAGCAAACCAGGATGGGCCTGAGTTAGGGTGGGGAACACTAAAGAGAAAGCCAGAACCCGCACTGAATTTGGTACAAGTACTGAGCATTCAGTACTCTCCCAGTGTATTTACTGTATTTATGTTCTTAAATGTTCTTTCCATCAATTTACAATCATGAAAGATTTAGTTAGTGCTTTCAAACCCTACCAATAATGTATACCACGTGAAAACACTATTTTCTTCTCAAATTACTGAAGCTAAAGAACAGAATATTAACCTCTAAGGAAAATCCCAACAGAGTAGTAAGCTAACCAAAGCCAAGTGTCATTATCCTTACTGTGAACAGTAAAAGCATTAATCTTCCTAGCAAGGTCTTTTACACTAAAGTACTTAATCACACAAAACAGCACTCAGATAACACATATCAAAAAGATGCCAAGCTGAAAACACACCAGCAAAAAGCCATGGGACTAGGAGAGGAGAGTCCATCTCATGAATGGAGGGTGGGGACTGGGAGTAGAGAGTGGGGGAGGGTGGAGACAACTCTGAGTTTTTCTCCTTTCTCACCAGCCACACTCTATCACTTACGAGATACATAGATACCTGCATAGATACCCAAATGTTGGGAGTGCCCATGCTCAGTCCCAGGTTTTCCCCTCTATGTATATGCTTTCCAAATGGTCTCACAGGATCTTAGCCCCATGTAGTTAAAAATAGGTATATATAAAAAAATGTATATCTGGGAAACTTCAAAACTAATAATACACCGCTAAGTATATCCAACTGACTCCTCAACAACGCCACTGTAGGAGGGTCAAAGCAGAGCCCCCCCCCCACCAAACTTATGACCCACTCTTCCCGCCTTAATAAAGGCACCACCATCTAGTGGTCAAGGTCAAAACACAGGACTCACCTTTTATTTAACTCTCCCCCACCTCCACAGCTATCCAAAGCAAGTCCTGTGGATTCCACCTCCAAAACCCACCCAAATCTGACCCTCTCTTCCACGTCCCCACCTAGCCAGATCAAGGCACCTGAGCCCTCACCTGGTCTCCTAATCAGTGCTGTTCTACACTCACTGCCTCCACTCACCCACCATCCATTTCCCCATCCAGCACCAGAGTACGTTTTTACTGAGAAATCAGATGGAGTCAATCTCTCACTTAAAACCATCCCATGTCTGCCTCCGCAGTTAGAACACAAGCCAGAGGCCTCCCCCGGGGCCTATAAAATCCTACCCATTCTGTAGCCTGCTGACCTCACCTCTTACCGTCTCCCCTAGCTGGCTGTCTTGTTCCTTTGTCAGACACCTCAACAGAATATTCCTTGTAATATCCCCAGTCCAGCCCTTCTCACTACACACGCCGCAAATATCTGTTGCATGAATGAGAGAATCAGGGAGCATGCTTGAGGAAGGCAAGAAAAAGTAGAAATGAAGCCCATGGGAACATGAAAGAAATATGAAAGAGGGTCAAAGTGGGAGATCCAGCATGGGGAGTGGGGTCAGAAGGTCAGGGAGCCTTGGAGAAAAGAGTAGGAGAGAAATGTGGAAGGATTAAAGGGAGAGAGGGAGAAGGGGAGGAAGAGGGAAGCCCACACTAGTGGGGGGTTTTCTGGGGAAGCACCAATTGGAGATATGTCACCTGGAGCACCTAGGCTGGATAAGGCATCTCAAAGGCTTGTTCACACACACAGCAAAGGGTTCACTTTGTCCCTGTTCTAGAGCCACAGCCTGACTCAAAGTCAAATGGAGCAGCAATTTTTAAAAACCCCAACATGGTAAGTAAACCCTCAAGAATTCTAAATCCAGAAATAAAAAGCGCCCCAGAGTTCTAAATGTCCTATCCCAGGGAATAACTGAACCTGAGTGATGCTAATGAATCCCAACCTCCTTCTGTATTTTCCTAACTTATTTAATATGAATTTAATTTTTAGAACACCAGATTCACCCAAATCCAAAGTACAACAAACATTTAGCTCTTAGTTGCAAGTTAACAACAATGTAAAACATAGAAGGTGAAAGGAAAGGCCAATTACTGAATATCCACTGTATGTCAGGAGCTTTATACACATTATCACACTCCTGCCACTACCCTAAAAGCTGGACGATATTATTAGCATTGTAGGGATGAGGAAACTGAGCCTTAGAACTGAAGTAACTTGCCCAAGTTCACAGCCAGAAAAGGGTGGAGTCAGGACTGTTCTGACACCAAAGCCCATATTCTTCCAGTAAAATACACTGCCTCCCAGAGCACTTGGTTTTAGAAAATGCATTCTGTAATGAATAAATTGAATTTGGGAAATAAGGAACTCTAAGAATTCAAAACATTTCAACAAAGAAGTGATACTGTAAAAGCCTGTCTCAAGGGAAACCGAAAGCGTCTCTATTCTGCCTGCCCCCTACTTACTGAGTGTTGCAAATGAACTGCACCCTTTCCCAGAAAGAACCAAACCACCAGCTTAACACAGGAGTGGCCTCCTTCCACTTACTGATGACACTACTCACACAGACAGTATTTATTAGGTACCTTTTAACCTCTAGGCACACACTCCTCCCCGTGCTCTAATCCTTCTCTCCTCCCCTTTGCCACAACCCAAGCTCGGGCACCCTCACCTCTGCCTGTACAGCTGCCGAATCCTAACCTCAGAGGGTTTCCAGGTGCCAACCACCCTCTGGCTGCAGGAGTCGTCATCAAAATCACAGCCTGGGTTACAAAATCAATCTGGTCCCAAACCCGGGGACCATGGTATTCAAGGGACCATGAACCTGCTCCCCCTACCTTTCCAGGCTGTCTTCCCCACTCTTCCACACAGTGCTCATTCAGGCTCCCCTTGCCACATGCCCTTCACAGCTCTGTGTTTTTGCTCCTGCTGTTTCCTCCAACAGAAGACTCTCACTCGCTTCCTAGCCAAATTATTCATTAATCTAACATTTACCAAGCAACCACTTCATTTCATGCAAGGCACTGGAAGATAACACAAGTGTTTTCAAAACTAAAAGGTGCTGTACCAATATATGGCATTCTCTTGGCCCCATAAGGAGTCTAGATTTTATAAGACAATGAACAGGATTCTACTGAAGGCTTTTCAAGATGGAATAAAGCATAAGCAAGGCTAAGATTAGTAAGACAAGAACATGTTTGTAGAAAGAAGCAAAGAAGTCAATGAGAGAAAATCAAAGAGGCAAGTGAGTAAATGACTAAATGCTTATCTCATAACAGGCAGACCAAAGAACAGATACAAGGTGACATTGGGAAAGAGGGATTCTCTCTTCTTCAGAGGCAAGGGGATACACAAGACTGATGAATATTCAGGTATTTTACCTAGAAAGGATTCGAAGTTGAGAGAACTCTCCTAGTGGCCTTTGTTTCCTCCATGATCTAGAAGACAATCGTTTGTCAATGGTTGAAAAATACATATATTTTTTTTGAGGAAGGGACCATGAGAGCAGGAAGGATGCTGCCCAGTAAAGAATTTAACCTTGCCCAAAAGGAGATTTGGCCTTTATCCTCAGCGGACAATCTGATTTTCAGTGGGGGCTGGCCACACAAGAAAGACTAACAATTCAATTTAATTTGAGGCTTTGAGTCATGCAGTATCAGTTGACCTGGAAACAGATCAAGCAAGTGAGCGATCAATCAATCACAGGTGGAACCCCAATAAAGACTCTGAACACCCAGGCCCAGGTGAGCTTCCCTGCGTGGCAATACCCTGTGCATATCGTCTCACAGAAGCCCCACCTCTGATACTTCCCTGGACTCTGTCCTACAGGCCTCTTACCTTGGCTGCTTTCAGTCTGTATCCTTTCCTGTTATGAACCATAATTGTGAGGACAACAGCCTTCGGTGAGTTCTGTGAGCCCTTCTTCCCAATAATCAAACATTAGGGTGGCTCTGGGAATCCCCAAACTTGCAGCTGATGCCCACAGTGAGGGTGGTCTTGTGTGGACGGTTCCTTCTAGACTCTGTAGCTGACTAACTTTCACAGCTCGCCTGAACTCTTCTCAGGGGCTACAGCTGAAGGGTCACACAGCAAGTTGTTAACACTGACCCTGGACACTGGCCTTGGGGAAGGCGGGAGTGAAAACGAGTGTTTAGATTTTATGCTCTGCTCTAGTGTTGGAATTTTTTACAAAACAAGCATGTGTTCCTTTTATAATTAAACATCACTTTTAAGAAACACATACCCAAAAAGCTGCTTCAAGATAATTATTCTGTAGAGACGTTCAGCACAGATTGGAGCGGGGAAGCTCTGGAATCATCAGGAAAACTGCTTCTCAATTTATCCCAAACATTAACTTTGTATGTGAACTTATTTCTAACCCCCACTTCATCCAATTAACAAAGATTCTATGACTTATGTCACCAGAGTCCAAGCCTGCAGTAACAGTTTCAATAAGAATGTAAAAGTATGTCCATACTTTTGACTAAGTCAAGACTGTTCTTGCATAAATTTCTGGCCATTCTATTCATGCTAATACAGCCAAGGGCCACGTAACGACATTTCAGTCAACAACGAACCACATATAGGACGGTCGTCTCCTAAGATTATAATGGAGCTGAAAAAGTCCTATTGCCTAGTCACACATCTGGTTTACTGCGTCTCTTAACTGCATAATTTTCTCTTGTGTTTGCCTTAATCTTGTGTTGTACAGCAACACGATATACAGGTTTGCAGCCTAGGAGCAACAGGCTATGCCATATAGTTTAGGTGTGCAGTGGGCTATCCCACCTCCGTTTGTGTAAGTACACTCTATGATGTTCACACACAACATAATCACCTAATGATGCATTTCTCAGAACATATCTCTGCTGTTAAGTGGTGCATGACTGTATCCTCAGGGGAGTATTTCTGTTTTTACAGTGCACTGATTAGCATGGCTGTAAAGGCGCAATCACCAACTGTAATCAGAGGCCGGCTATGAGTCGCTGGTAATAGAACACATCTCTATACATTTTTACCCACTTTGCTCCTATGAGACATCTGCACAGAGTTCCAATTGTTATATGAATTCTCTGGGAAATTACCTTTTCAGGAGGTCTTATTCTCCTCCATCTCTCAGCCCAAAAGTCAATGGGGACCTACCAGTCTAACTCCAAAAAGTACACAATCCAAATATAACTTCAATTTTCCAGAGTGTTCAAGAAATGCAACTTATCACTGTGTTCCATTCCATTTTTCAAGTATCTCAATAGCCAGTCACTTTAAACAAGTTGTAACTTCCTAACAAACAAACTTAACAAGGTGACTTTTTTAAAGGTGACTTTAGATAAGTAAAAGTTATAAGACAATATCAAAAAATCAAATTCATCTGTGAGGTGAAGGGTTTAGGGAAAAAAAATGTTTTGAGCTAGATTTCTAGACTACCTGAGACAATAAGAGTAAAACAGATACATGTATGTGCATTAAGTACATACACTAAGCAGAATGCAAACGTAACCACGTAGCATCGGTTTGGAAAGCATTGTACACAACCTGGACAGCAAAAGAAGCTACAAGGCAGGTGTATCAACAGTTCTTCCCACGCTCCAACTTAACTACCATAATAAACTGGTTGCTCACAAACCAATAAAGTGTGTCCACCCAAGAGCAAAAAGAGACTTAGTTCCGGCAGCAACGACTTTTCAAGAAGAAGAGCCTTAGCCACACTAAGAGCAGATGCAGACGTTGTCTTGAAGCTGACCTGACTGTCCGGGATGCCCTGACCGGAAATCTCCCCCAAAGAACACTGATGGGGAAGGGATGATAATGAGAAAGATGCACAATGAATAAAAAAGTTAAAAACTGAAAAGGGAAGGAAGAACAAGAGCATTCAGGAAGCCACGCACCATGTGGGAGAAAGCCCATTGTAATACATGCCCATAAACAATGCTTTACAGCTCACAGAAGGGTTTATAGCCATTCGCTCTTCCAGCCCCGACAACAACCCGTTATTAGAGGAGAAAAGAGCGGCTCGGCGAGCTTACTGTCACGCCAAGGTCAGGGACAAAACTGGGGCTGCCATTCGGACCCTCTCCCGAAAGATGGACTAAGGAGCGACAAGGAGGCACCTGGGGACGTCAAGTGCACGCACCGAAGTGCCCCTGAGGAATCCGGGAGGCTGCAGATCACAGCGGGCGGGGTGGGGAGAGGGCACAGGGGCAGGTTTTCTTAGTCCCTTTGAATTCATGTATGGAAGACTCTTCTTATTAGGAAACTTGCCTTCCACAGAAACCCTCTCGGAGTCTATGTCCCCATGTTAAATCTATTCCAACAATTACTGAGAGAACATGCTAATCAAGCCCTCCTCCACCTTCTAAGGGAGACATCCCGCTAAGCCTCTAGAGCCAGGGGACTGGGTACTCGCCATGGTCGGCAAACTGCGGTTCGTGAGCCACATTGGCTTTTTGGAGGTGGCCGCGGAGCCCAGAACCCTGCCTGGAGAGCACAGCAGTGCGACCCCCGGAAGTGAACCCGCGGGGTCACCGGCGTCGCGCCTGCGCAGTTCAGGCTGCCCCCCGGGCTCCCGGCCGCAGAGATGGGCTCTTGAGGCGCTCTCCGGGACTCTGTGGCCACGGTCTCTCTGGAACAGGGGCTCCTAAGGAGTGGCAGTTCCCTGAGAGAGTCAGCTTCCAGTCGCAAGCTGCCCTCGCTAAAGTAAAGGATCTCCAAACTGAGATCCGGAAGGGAAAGGACAGTGGCTACGGGCTGCCGCAAGGTCCAACCCACGCGTTGAGCTGTCATCCAAGGTCCAGAGTTCTTCCCAAGTGGCTGGAGCCCGCGGCGACCTCTTAAGGAACTGTCAGCTTTAGGTGTGGCCTGCAGGGTGTGCGGGAATGGAACTCAGAAAATGGGGACATGGAAACCGCAATGAAAAAGATGGAGGTAAAAGCATCTGAGGAAAAGGGGAAGCATAGCCGGCTGGTGTGGCTCCGGTGATTGAGTGCCTCCCCCCCCCCGCCCCCGGGCACCAAGAGATCCCTGGGTTGATTCCTGGTAAGGGCACATGCCTGGGTTGTGAACTTCATCCCCAGTAGGGGGCGTGCAGGAGCCAGCCAGAGGGTGCTTCTCTCTCATGGATGCTTCTATCTTCCCCTGCCTTCCTCTCTTGAAAATCAATAAAAAGATACTTTAGAAACAATAAATAAATAAATAAATAAATAAATACATAAATAAATAAATAAATAAAAAATAAATAAAACAAACATACAGTTCTCTGGTTTAAAAAGAAAAGAAAAGGGAAAGCATACTGGACTGGGGATTGGAGGCCTGGCACCTGGCGTCTGCTGAGGCTCGGAGAGGGACCTGGATGTCAGAACATCCCAAGGATTCCTTCCAGGTGATGTCTTGAATATTTAAAGGTAGACACGTTTTTTATTTATTTGGGTTTCCTATAATATTTGGGGGCAACTGCTGCAGGTCTGGGAAGCAGATGCTCAGTGTTTGTTGTTAAACTGGTAAGTACTGACTAAATTGTATGAGAAAAGCAGTAATTGCAGTTAAGGAAACTATGAGAATCTCACTGACTGCAAGCTACTTTCTCATTATTTACTGTCTTGCCCCCAGCCAAACTTTAGGAATAAGGGGTACATTAAATTAATCATCAAAATTCCAGCTTTGAAAGTTTAAATGTGTGTTAGTGGGTCTTGTATCTCTGTATTCAGAATGGTGCTATGCATTCAATCACCCTTCACTGAGCCTCCTATTGCCTGGGATCGTTGTTTCCACAAAGGAAAAAGTGAGGTTGGCCCCTCCAGTCAGTGGTCAATTCTTTCCACATAGGCTGAAAGAAAGGATGGTTATCTCTGATGACACCAAGACTGT